ATGGTGGGAAAGATTTGTAGCTCAGGTGAATGATTTTGATGGAGTTTTGTTCTCTGAACTGGATAGTTTGCTTCAGCTTAGAGAAAAAAGAACTCCATCAAGATTACTTACTTATAGTGTTTAAATTTAACGTAATTTAAAATTACTTTTTATCTTTGACTGTAGTCAGGCATATAATAATCGAAAATCGAAGATTAGGTGTTTGTGGCTTTTCAGAAATGCAATCGCCCCCAAATGCCCTGGTACGGCCGAGAGTGAGGAAAGTCCGCCCTCCCTCTCGAAATGCTCTCACATGGCCATGCGTATATAGCCTCTGCCAGGGAAGTCCTACTCACTGCCTCCTCGTGGCGGGGGTGTTGTTTACGGAAATGAGAGGACGAAAAGCGAATGTCCAGCGCTTTAACCGGACCCCATACCAATGGTGCACATGGGCTGCCTCCAGTATCCTGCCTGAAGGAACAAATGGCGTATGAACCAATCGTTGGTCACCGGCTACCACAGGACTGCATCTCCTCAAGATGCTCCACTGCCTTGTGGGTCAGACGTTCAGGTCAAAGGCTCGGGGTGTGGCCCCCTAAGAAAACCACCTGCTTCGGTTTGGGCACCCGGTCAGTATCACAGCCCACACACAAATCAATCGAGATTCGTGTGGCGCATATGTATTTGGTGCCTTCTTGTACCAATACCTATGTGTTAAAATAAATAAGAAATGCAATCCCTACACTGTAAAACGTTAATTGAATTAACAGTCTTCAGGTATAACTGGAAATATCATACTATTCAGTTACTGAAAAAAAACACCAATGTTTTGAACACCTAAACTCCTGTTGGTTATATATCATTACTGTGCATATTATCTCAATTTCCAAACAAAATATAACAAGCTTCATAAATATCTTTAGCTGTACTAAGTGAATTTAAACATCATCACATTGCACAAGCAAATGGCTATTAGGACTCAATGACTAAGTGGATAACGCTATGTTGTTTGAAGTGAACGGTACTGGGTTCGTATCTCAGAGTGAACATCAACTCTGAGATGCAGGTACATCCAGCTGACGAGTCCCAAATAGGACAAAACTCACATCCTGGATTCCACTGCTAACCACTATCTATATTTGCTTAAAAAGTTTGTGACTAACGTCTAGATCCAGGCAGTTCGCACAGGATGCATATATACCAATAAGAGACTAATCAATTGCAATCCTAAATAACAATGGGAGATACAAGTAAAGAACACTAAGTGAATTTATATATTCATTTTATATTTCTATTACCATGTTCAATTTTTAAAGATAAAGTGTGTTCATGTATATGACGATTGCTATTCATAGATATGTTGTAATAGGTTGAGCAAAGTTGTAATTGACTGGGAATAATGCAGAATATAGGATCTTTTGAAACTGATTAGTGTATATTGAAGAAAAATTAGTTTTCATTGAAGTTATTCAGTGTTTAACTAATTGCTTTGCAGTTTTGACGATCAAAATGGCAAAGATGATTTGTATTAGGCTCGAATGATACTATAAAATAACTTTAAGTGTGAATGATTAAGAGAAAAGTAAGATTCTTTGATACAACACAATATCCAACAATCGAATTACAATTGACGGAAGAGATTTGGAAGATGTACAATCCTTTACATATTTGGGCAGCATCATTGATGAACACGGTGGACCTGACGCAGAAGTGAAGGCGCGGATCGACAAAGCAAGAGTAGCATACCTACAGTCGGACAATTTCTGGAAATCAAAAATACTGTCAAACAACACCAAGATCAAAATTTCCACTACAAATGCCAAGATAGTTCAACTGTATGGAGTGAAAACTTGGAGAACTACAAAACCAATCATCCAGAAGATACAAGTGTTTATTAATAGTTTTCCACGCAATATGCTTCGGATCCGTTGGTCATGTAGTATCAGCAACAACTAACTGTGGGTAAGAACAAACTAGATTCCAGCGAATAAAGAAATCAGGAAGAAACGATGGAAGTGGATGGGATACACATTGAGAAAAGCACGCAACTGCATAACAAGGTAAGCTCTCACTCTCAATCTTCAAGGCTAAATAAAGCAGAAGAAGAAGAAGAAAAAGAAGAAGAAGAAGAAGAAGAAGAACAAAGAACACACTACACCGAGAAATGGAGACAGATATGAGAAGAATGAACAAGAATCGGACAGAAATGGAAAGGAAGGCCTAGGACAGAATGTGTTGGAGAATGTTTATCGGTGGTCTATTCTCCACTGGAGTTAACAGATGTAAAGAAGTAATTACATATGTAAAGAATTGACTAATAACACTTACCATTTATTCTATTTTGTAATTCTTTACGTCTTATACACATAAGCCATTTCATATCGTTATAACAGATATGTTTAGGTACTATCATGAATAGATTATACTGTTTATAATTACAATCTGTCACAACAGTTATTGTTTGAATGCTTTTTTCTCCAAATAACGTATTTTGGCATTTTGTATACACGCATCGATAAACTTGAAAATACCTTGAATGAACAAATTTTCTTTTGCTTCTGCTGCTGCTGCTGTTGTTGTTGTTGTTGTTGTTGGTGGTGGTGGTGGGGGTGGTGGGGGTGGTGGTGATGGTGATGGTGTTGGGGGTGGTGGTGGTGGTGGTAATTTATACAATTCAGACAAATGTGAATCAGACTGACAAAACCAATATTACACTTGATTTATGATAGAAATTTTATTGCTATGGTTACTATTTGTAATGAAAGAAAACGAAAAACCAAAAAAAAAACAAAAAAAAACAAACGATACGATCCAATTTAATTGTGTCAAAATCAACAGACCATATATCAGTCTAACTTTTCTAATTGTATTTAGCATTAAATTCACTTGATGTTGTTTACTTGTATCTTTTAATTGTTCTTTAGAACTGCAATTGATTAGTCTCTTATTGGCATATATTCATTCTGTGCGGATTACCTTAATATAGCCTTAAGTCACAAGCTTTTTAAGCAAAGATGCATAGTGGTTAGCAGTGAAATCTAGGATGTGCGTTTCGTCAAATTTGTGACTTAAAACAATATCTAGGCAGTTCGCAAAGGATACATATAGGCCAATAAGAGACTAATCAATTGCAGTCCTAAACAACAATTGAAAGATTCAAATAAACAATACCAAGTAAATTGAAACTTCAATCCATCAGGACTCAGTAACTAAATGCATAACGCTATAGTGTTTGAAGCAAACAGTACTGGATTCAAGTCCCAGAGTGAACATCACCTCTGAGATGAAGACACATCCAGCTGACGAGTCCCAAATAGGACGAAATGCACATCTTAAATCCCACTACTAGACACTATCCATCTCTTCTCATAAAGAATATAGTTTCTTGATAAAATTATCACAGTTCATTAAATTACTGGAAAACGAGAAAAGAAAGAAACAAAAAACAAATATTGCTCTTACTAATCATCATATGCGATTGAACAAACGGAAGTTATGTTGACTGAAAATCATGACTAGTGAAAATTTGATTTCACTTTTTTTTGTCGCATTGTATTAATGTCAAAACGTTTATCTCGAATAATACTGATCTTTTTTTTAACTTCGCCTATTTGTAACTTATTCAAATTCAAAGAAATGAATGAATCACAAATGATTGATCACTGGGTGGAGACCAAAGTCCTTATTATTAATGCAGATGGAATTCTATCGACCATGTTGCAATGTGGCCACTAGTCTAGGTGACTCGACACTGCAGGCACTATTGTGATTACATCTCAGTCCTACAGGAGGTCGGTCGTGGCCCAGATAGCTCAGTGATAACGTCTCTGACTGTGAATCTGGATGACACGGGATCGAATCAACCAGGAAGCACTAGTTCCCTCAAAGATGACAGGTACACCTTGTTGACGAGTGCCAAATAGCACGAAACCTGGGTCCAGGGTTTCCTGTCGACTACCTCCAACTACCAGCGAAATGAATGAATTCATCGTATTCTACTAATCTTATTACTCTTAGTTTATTCAAGCTGTACATAAGTCAATTTGATTTTTCTAATACTAAAAATATCTTCAATCACTTCTCCCTTGCATTGATTAACCTCAGGGCGATCAATCAATGGTAGCCTTAGCTACTGAATGACCTAATTTGACTAATATACTTAAAATCTTTCTTTATATTATTATTGCCTTAACATCACTATTATTCTCTTGAATACATGATTCAAGATAAAATTGCATATAAATCAATTCGACACTTAACTATTTCATTTTGTTCAACAATTCTACATTGAAATGCTATTGTGGTGTGTGCTACTTATATGTAGATATAAGTAGTATATGATGTTTGTCGTGAACTGAATGTTTGGAAGCAGAGAGACAAGAAGATCGAACAGTTAAGAATGAAGACAAACTGCAATTTGTATGGAAATACAAGAACGATGAAGTTTGAGTCATTTGAGACAATTGATCAACATTTTGCAAATTGAGCATTTACCACATATGATTGTTAGATTTACATGTGATTGTCCCCATTAGTGTTTTGTTCGCTACACTGTGACTGTAGTCCATAAACTTTACATTATTAATTTGGATAAATGAATTGTAGAATCCGAAGAGTATTTATTCCTCGTTCATATATATTAGTCTTTTAATGTGATATCAATTTCTAAAGTAATCCGCCTGGAGTCCCTCCGGGAGCTACTGCCGGTCCCAAGCCCGGATAAAGGAGGAGGGTTGGGCATGGGATTAGCGACCCCATCCCGTAGAAAACTAACTCGCTAAAAAAAACGCTAACCAGAAAAAATTATTCAAACCATTTAAACTCTGCCCTGGGAGTCAGAAGGTCTTCGTTTAGAAGAATTATGACGCCTCATGATGAAAGCCAAGTTTCTTCGGATGTCACGAGTCCGATGCTTCTTCTAACAACCATAGCAACCATTTATTTATTTAGGTAAATGTCATGGCAACAAAATTTTATTTTACTCATAATATTAATAATATTATAAATGTCTTCATTTTTAGTGTTGTTGTACATGAACCTGGTACATATCCAGATTTAGAACGAGAAGGACTACATGTTGAACCAGGAAAATTAAATGAAATCAATTATCAACCAGTTTTATGGAAACGACTTAATACACCTCAAAATCCATGCCGTGAAGAGTTTATTGATCGTAATCCAGAATTGGCTAGTATTACTGATCATAAATTATCTCGATTAACTGGATTAGATTTTGCATATGCATATAATGATTTAAATGTATCATATAGATACACTCAATCCCAGTGTATATTGTTTCATCAACAAGAAGATATTATTAAAGAATGTGGATGTCAGTATATATACAATCCAAGACCACAATACCCCTCAAATGATCTTCCATATTGTGGTTCAATACTAGGAGATGATTTTGATATATTGGCACTAGCTAAACGTATCCAATGTCTTACAAGTGGTCCTTTAAATGTAACCGTTAGAAGTCAGTACGAATCAACTTTATGTCATCCAAGATGTCGATATTATACATATGAAAGTACTATATCAGTTACAACATGGAGAGCTGTTGATTGGCAATTACATTGGCTTAGGCAATTGAATAGAGCATTTAAATCAATGCAATATGATGTGAAAATGAATGGAGAAGATTGGAATATAACTCAAAGTAAAGGTTTTCATCGATGGAAAGAATATTATGAAAAAGATAATCTAACAAATGTAAGTTGTTATCCAATATCTAAGTATTGTTTGGTTTCAAATAAAACACAATATCAAGTGAATTAAACTTTACCCCATTGCACAAACAAGTGACTATCAGGGCTCAGTAGCTAAGTGAATAATGCGATGGCATTTGAAGCGGATGGTACTGGATTCGAGTCCCAGAGTGAACATTAACTCTGACATGCAGGTACGTCCAGCTGACGAGTCCCAAATAGGACGAAACGCGCGTCAAACTGGATTCCACTGCTAGACACTATCCATCTTTTCTTATAATATTGTCTGGTTAGTTTTAAATAAATTGAGTATTTCTCAAATATTTTTATGATATAATGTATGTTTCTGTTATTCGGGTAGAAAATGAGCTATTGTTGCCTTACTATTTACAAATAATAATAGCGCAAATGGTAATCATAGAAAAAAGGAAGGAAAGAATATCTACAATTAGGATATAACAGATTGTTGAGTTATGATTTTTGGCTTAAATCAAAGTTGTGCTTTACATATACGCATACGTTGTAGCGTGGCATCGAGTCGTAGTCGATTATGAACACCACTTCAAGAAGAGCACATACCAGACAAATCAAAAGGCGAACAGGGATCGTAACCAGATTTATTTGTTGGCAATCTCGTGGTATCGAACGAATACCGAGATTGTGTCAAAAGGAATACAAACAGAATTAGTCGGCGAAAGAACGAGTGTACCAGGTCACATTCTATGGAAGAGTAATGAAGGAGAGTAATGGCTATCTTTAGTAAAGTTAAACAAACGAGCACAGTAAAACAATCACTAGTACAATTACTTATAATAATGATTGTTTCCATTAAACCAATCACGTTCTGTTGATAAAACTAGGTCACTACAACGTTTTCATAAGTGAATATGAGGTCAGTTAGTCAGTGCGAACAAGCAGATAATTGTATTCATACTCTTTAAATGGAAATTTAATTCAAATATCAAGATGTATACACCATGAAGATAGGACGTCGTTGAGATTATAATTTATGGATGATCTTTGAGCAACACTAAAATGATTTTGAAAATGTCTATCTACATACTAAAGTTAAATGAGGGTTTTGTAAATTTGTGTGAGAGATTAAGATTGGAATTTACAGTTGAACGTTACGGTTAGGAATGAAATCAGCTATAAAGCCACAATGGTATTTAGCCAAATGAATGGATGAATTTTGCGCCAAAATTATTTATTTTAACACATAGATATTGGTACAAGGAGGCACCAAATACATATGCGCCACACGAATCTCAATTGATTTGTGTGAGGACTGTGATACTGACCGGGTGCCCAAACCGAAGCAGGTGGTTTTCTTAGGGGGTCACACCCCGAGCCTTCGACCTGAACGTCTAACCCATAAGGCAGTGGAGCATCGTGAGGAGATGCAGTCCCATGGTAGCCGGTGACCAACGATTGGTTCATACGCTATTTGTTCCTTCAGGCAGGATATTGGAGCCCATGTGCACCATTGATTTGGGATCCGGTTATAGCGCCGGACATTCGCTTTTCGTCCTCTCATTTTCATAAACAACAGTAATGCCACGAGAAGGCAGTGAGTAGGACCTCCCTGGCAGAGGCTATATACGCATGGCCATGTGAGAGTATTTCAAGAGGGAGAGCGGACTCTCCCCACTCTCGGCCGTAGAATTTTGTGATTTTTTTTTGAAATTCAAACGTTCTGGAGTGTTATTTTGCTTTGGTATATTTTGTAAATGTAGTTGTTGTTTAAATTCATTTGGTTTTGTTTACTTGTATCTTTCCATTATCATTCACGATTGCAATTGATCAGTCTCATGTTGACATATGTGCATCCTGTGTGGATTGTTTCAATATACGCTTAAGTCACAAGTTATTTAAGCAAAGATAGATAGTGGTTAGCAGTTTTATTCATTAAAAAAAAGAAATGAATGGTGGATAGCAGGATAATCCAAGACACAAGCTTCGTTTTGTTTGCGGCTCGTCAGCTGGATGAACCTACATCACAGGATCGATGTTCACTCCAAGCCTCGAATCCCATATCGTATACTTCGAATGCTATCTTTTTATTCACTTAAAAACTGAGTCTAGTTAGCCAATAGCTTGTGCAACTGGGTAACGTCTTATTCATTTTTGCATTGATACTAGGTTCGAATCCAGGAATGAACATCGATTCTGGGATATAGGTACATCCAGCTGACGAGCTCCAAATAAAACCAAACGCGTGTGCTGGATTCCGCTGCTAACCATCACTCATCTGTGTTTATAACGAGTATAGTTTCTTGATAAAAGTATCACAGTTAATTAAATCACTGTTATACTGAATAAAATATCACATTGGAAAACCAAAAAAAGAAGCAAAAAACAAATATTGCTCTCACTAATCATCATATGCGATTCAACAAACGGAAGTAATGTTGACTGAAAGTCACGACAATGTGATGTTGACTATTCATCCCATCGTATTGTTTAAATTGTAACAGTAAATTGATATGCTTGCAATAGGATTTGACAAATGGATCAGTAATTATGACTAGATACAGTCACATATGAGTTCGTGGCATGAGAAATACGTTTTTTGTGAGATTGTACTATCAGTAACGGATTATATTTGAAAACATCTGAATCATTTCAATGAATGAGATCATGAGTCAGTTGAAGTTAGACACCATCATGGAAAACCTGGAAACACTGGGCGGCCGTTTCATCCTATTTTTGGGACTCCTCAGCAGTGCGCATCCACGACCTCGCTCACTGAGCGGGTAGTATCACAACCCTCACACATATCCAATGAGATCTGTGTGGTGCATATGTATTTGGTGCCTCCTTGTACCGATATCTATATGTTTAAATAAATAAATAAACCACATCTATTGTCTTGATAGATTTCTGTTGTGTTCAATTACAGATACAAAATTACTTGCTTATATACTTGTTTAATACATTATTTGATTTGTTATTTTCTCTTTAGATTTCTGCGAATGCAATCAGTGATCTAAATCTTCAAGGTGATAATTTTGCTTATGTTGTTCTTAAACGTCGTGCTAGTGATGTACGTGTTAGTCAAGAGAAATTAGTTTTAAGTATTAGTGTTCTACTTAGTCGTATTGGTGGTCTTTGTTCATTAAGTATTGGATTAACTGCTGCATTTATTGTTGAATTAATTGAATTTACTTATCGTTTAGTAACTATGGAAAGATCAACTATTCAACGTAATAAAAATAAACATAATAAAATGAACAGTAACAATGTTTTAAGGGTGGGTGGGGGACAATATAAAAATAAACAAAAACAAACTACAACTTGTATCTAACTCACTTGAAAGACAGACAGACAGAGAGAGAGAGAGAGAGGGAGGGGTGAGAGATGGAGGAAACATTCTAATTATTTTATCGCTCTATTATATTTCATTTGAATACAATCACAATAATGGTGTCAACGTGTATTCATAGATAACAGATCATTAGTTATAAATTCAATTAGTGATCTATTCACATGGAATGATACAATTTGTGTTTTACATTTCTCTGTTTATTATTTCATATAATTTATTTGTAAGTAAATAGGATCACAAATATTAAAAGGTTATATGTTTTAAAGTATTTCCTCTTTTGAATTAATTGCCTGGGATAATAAGTTTATGGGTTGAACAGATATTAATTCATTCCAATAGTTGAGATCATCAGCTAGATCACCACTTGGAAACACTGAATGGACGTTTCATCCGATTATAGCACTCGTCAGCAATGTGCATCCATGATTCTACCTCGTAGGATTCAAACCCAGGAACTATCAGTATTACACGAGAACACTTAACTATTAGATCACTACTGAGGATTGTCACAATAGAACGAAACGATCGTCCCATGCTTCCAGCTTTTTCATAGTGGTCTAGCTTCAATTAACTCATGATCTTAACTACTGAAATTACTAGAACATCTACAGAAACTCTTCTGATACTATTCAGAAACTAATTAGACAAGGGAATAGACTGATAAATTCGGCACTTTACTTTAGAGTTTGTTACACTAATTTGCATTTGGACTTATGGTATTAAAGTGCTCAATTCGTTGACTCGAGATATCTTTAGCATGACTTAACGTGTGGAACTAAAGAACATTTTACTAAAATCTGAGGACAATATAGTAAATGGTTAATTTGCTAAATATCAATCGATTGTCTCCAAGTTGACTGTTTCTTTTACAAATATCAATCCATCGTCTCCGATTTTATTGTTCCTGCATGTTCATACCATTTGATTTCCGTTCCGATTCTTTCCTTCTCGATCTTCTACTGAAATACATTCTATTCCTGATTATCGTTATATACTACTTATGTGGATATAAGTAACTCATATCACAATATGTGATCACAGTTTGAATGAAAAGGAAGTGAATGCGTTAATTAATATTCTCACTGGAAATCATATACTTTGAATAGTTTACAACAATCTACCGACCCATAAAATAGCAAACAAAATCTGTTCTCATGGCAAGAAGTTGTTTAAAACTTAAAAGTGACTCACGTAGATAGATTACTGAGAGTAACAATAATAGAATTTATCATTTCAATCGTTTTTATGGTCCAAGTGAGATGTACTTCATAGCATTTAGAGATCTACATTTTCGTAATTGTGAGCAGTTTCTAGAGTAGATTAGATATGTTTTAACCAATACTAAAGCTTAGAAATCGATTCAGGTAACCTATTGACGCTTAACAGATTCTGAACCACTCAACTAACAGAACCATTAGTGAAAACAATATTAAAGTAATGAGTGATATGTGTCCCAAATAAACTTCCTGTTACCCCTGGTGGAGAAACATAGGCTGCTCACCAGCATTATTTATCCAACTCTAGCCTCAGAAACCCATTCCAGTGTTTCCCCAATGCTGTCCATCCTCTTTATGTCCGCTTCGGATTCCCGACTCAGTGTTCCACGGTCTTTCGCTTTTCCTCTTCCCACCACGATTCAAAGTTAGTGCTTGTCTTGTTATGCAGTCTGGTGATTTCCGTAATGTATGTTCTATCCACTTCCAACTTTTTTCCTAATTTCTTTCTCAGTTGGAACCTGCTTTGTTCCCTCCCATAGTAGGCTGTTGCTGATGGTATCCAGTCAATAGACATTGAGTATCTTGCGTAGACAACTGTTTATAAATACTCGTACGTTTTTGATGATGGTTGTGGTAGTTCTGGAAGTTTCAGCTCCATTCTATATAACTATCTTGACGTTCGTATTGAAGATTATGACTTCGCTATTGGCTTTCAGACAGTTGCTTTGAGTTCCATATGTTATTAAACTGTATGAATGCTGTCCTTACTTTGCAAATCCTTGCATTTATTTTCTCATTCCTTCGTCATTTTTCACCAATGATGACGTTGGCCAGGTACGTGAAAATTTCCACATCTTCCAGAGTTTCTATATCAAGTGTGATGGAACTGATGTTCTCCATATTATACTTCAGAATGTTGCTTTCCCTTGTGTATGTTGGAGGTCACTGCCTGCTCAAAATGACCAAACTATCTTGTGTTTTTCTATCCACCATTGTCACCAGTGAGTTACTATCTCACAATCGACCCGGTTGAACTCCACCGGTCATTGCTTGTTACTAGCACTCCAGGATATTTCTCTTGAAGCTAGTCACTAGTGAGCATATGTCGATTCATATCACAAGGATTTTTGTCGATATCATAGTAATTTCAATGGTTGAGATCATGAGTCGATTAAAGCTAGACCACCTTCAGTGCTTCCACATTTTCCATGGTGGTTTAGCTTCAATTGACTCATGATCTAAACCACTGAAATTTATTTTACTTTCATCACGATCTGGAATACATTTTACGGAAATATTCTAATATGTTTTTATGGTGCATGTTACTTATTCTGACAGATATAAGTAGTATGTAGCAGCAGTCGAATATGGAATGCTTATCAAAAGATTGATAAGATTCAAATTGAAGAGAACAGCAATGAAACAGCGAGCAATTGTCATAACAACAGAATCATGAAGCATGTAAAGGATAATTAAAGGAAGATGTACAAATTATGTATTCAACAATAAATTCGTATTCAATATTCGTTTAGAGAATAGATTTGATCAAACGCATAGCGTTTATATTGAACGATATTTAAGCGATTAACATTTTAAGGTAGAGAGAGAGAGAGTATATGTGCGTAGGCTATCACATGTGATCATGAGTACACGTTTATACAGACAAGATAGTGATTATAGTAGTACAAAGAAACATATGAACTATTACTGTTCGAATTACATTGTCTGTTAACTTAATAAAATGGTTTAACAAGATTTAGCCATCATCGAAATGGATTGCAGTAAAGTTGTTGTATCACTATTATAACTATTATCATCTTGAAAAATAAGTATTCTCCGGAAATAGAACTCTTCATTGAATCAATGTTTCTTTTTCTTTTTGATGTATATTTCACGGATAAATTCCAGTGAAGTTAATTCCTGATATGACAAAATAAAATGTCATAATAGAACGAAACGACCATCTAGTGCTTGTAGGTCACAATTGATTGATCACTGGGTGGTGACCAATGTCATGCTTGTCTAGTCCTTATTATTGTGATTACATCTCAGTCCTACAGGAGGTCGGTCGCGGCGCGGATAGCTCAGTGGTAACATCTCTGACTGTGAAGCTGGGTGACACGGGATCGAATCTGCCAGGGAGCACCAGTTCCCTCAAAGATTACAGGTACACCTTGTTGACGAGTGCCAAGTAGCACGAAACCCGGGTCCAGGGTTTCCTGTCGACTACCTCCAATCACCATCTAGTGCTTGTAGGTTTTCCATGGTGATCTAGCTTCAATAGACTCATGATCTTAACTGTTGAAATTACTCATTATGATTGTTTTTTTACTCAACATTAAGTCCGTTTTAATTCAATGTGATAAGTACTCAATGGAGTATTTGTTTCTGTTTTCCTGTATCATATTTTATTTTGTATTATATACGATATTCTTGTATTCACTTGACATGAACTATGCACAGTATATGATGTAGCATATGATGTGTTATAACTGTATTTTTCATATATGTGATTTCATCCCAATTATTGACGATAAATCGCAGCGTGAACATAGTTTTCAAAGAAGATCATCATTTTCATTATATTTGTGTGTGGGCTATCATACTGCTCCACTGCTCAAACCGAAACAGGTGGTTTTCTTAGGGGGCCACACCCCGAGCCTTCGACCTGAACGTCTAACCCACAAGGCAGTCGAGCATCGTGAGGAGATGCAGTCCCATGGTAGCCCGTGACCAACGATTGGTTCATATGCCATTTGTTCCTTCAGGATACTGGAGCCAGCCCATGTGCACCATTGATTTGGGATCCGGTTAAAGCCGGTGCCGGAAATTCGCTTTTCGTCCTCTCATTTTCGTAAACAACATTAATGCCACGAGAAGGCAGTGAGTAGGACTTCCCTGGCAGAGGCTATATACGCGTGGCCATGTGAGAGTATTTCGAGAGGGAGGGCGAACCCATCCCACTCTCGGCCATACCAGGGCATTTGGAGGCAAGTGCTGAGCCCGACGTGATTCGAACATGCAACCATCTGATCTGGAGTCAGACGCGCTACCGTTGCGCCACGAGGTCAAGATGGATAGTGGCTAACAGTGGAATCCAGGACGCGCGTTTCGTCCTATTTGGGATCCGTCAGCTGGATGTACCTGCATCTCAGAGTTGATGTTCACTCCGGGACTCGAACCCATTACCGTCCGCTTCAAACGCCATCGCGTTATCCACTTAGCTACTGAGTGTGGCGCATATATATTAGGTGCCCTCTTGTAACAATATTTATGTGCTCAAATAAATAAATATAAATAAATCCCAATTATTAATCAAAATGGGTGTACAATCAATATATAAATGGGTATATTTTCAATTAAGATTGTTGTCGTCGTCGTGTTTTCCGATTAATATATCTTCACATGTATCAGTTTTTGTGTTCTTACTTTCGTATCGTCGGTAATTGCAGTAGTTCCTCACTTTACAAACATAAGTAATAAGCGATTTTGACCTAATAGTCGGTAACAATCAGATATAACAATTGGTGACGTAGTCATATCAGTTGACCACCAGTCATAACAATTCCCGGAGAGACTCTAATTTAAGGACGAACCTTGAAAGAATCTTAAATAACCTTGACAATTATTAGCCAATCAGAAAACAGTTAGTATAAAGTAAAAATATATTCTAAGAAACTAATGAATTACAATGGATATTCTTCGTTTACATGATTGAAAAACTTGTTAAGGTTTGATAGAGCTTCAGATGTTCTAAAATCATAATGCATACGGTCTACGAACTCGTCCATATGGCTTCATAATAGTCGTTCGCTAGAGCCGTGGTACGGTCTTAAAACTTCCTTCAGTCTGGACCACATGGCTTCAATATTATTAGTATGAACGCCGGTTGTAGGATCGACGAAATGGCGCTTGTGCACTACGACATGATGTACATACCCAAGTCTATGTAGGAATCTATAAGCTCTCCAATCATCCGTATATACTGTAGTGCCCGGCTGCACGTATTTCTGTATAATTGGTATTATTGTGCTTGCTTGTCGGT